TGAAGAGAGCTCGGATTTGGTGCCCTGATTTGACTTTGACTTCAGAGAATTAAAACCCTGGCACTGTCCCCAGCTCTGGGTATAGAAAAGCTTCAAAACTATGTGATCTTAAGGATATATAAAAGGCTTTCATGTGTTCAAGAACCAGACTAATGGGTGACAATTAGGATGAGATCCTCTTCAGCTCAAGAACACTGCTTTGATCCTATGACTAGTTTAGAAAGCAGTGAGTAGAACTAAAGCAGGTTTGAGCCAGTGATGTCTAAGATCCCTTCCAATCCCAAGAATCTACGATTTACTCCTGTCTACTAAGGTTGGGATTCAGTGCAACCAAACTAGCTACAATTTAACAGTGACCAAGTCAGTAATTCTGTTAGCCCGATTTATAGCTAAAGAGAAGGTATTAGTTTATAACAATCCAGTTTCTGTGATATTATAAAAAATAATAATAAACATTCTTCTTCAAGTGCTTTGTTTGAGGGAAAAAGAGACAGGCAGGAAAGGAATTTATATAGCATCCTTTTGCAGTCTTCAGTTTATAATAACAAAATCTGTAAAATAAATGCCAACTCTACCAAAAGTCATTATTGATTCTAAGCAATGAAGCACACAAACTTCTGCTGAAAGATCTGGGAAACAGGCCTGATGGCATCAAAGCTGCTTCAATTATTTGAAATAAAAGTCCCAACTGGGTGACAATATTCTATCACAATTCAAGGAATACAGCCACTACAGCACCCCCTACCCCCCAACTCTAGCATAAAGGTTATTGCTAACTAGGGAGTTCAGCACATTAGAATTTTCCAAGAGCTACTTGACTGATTAAGTAAACATACACTTCAACATTCAAGAAGACAATACTGCATAGGTAAACAGTCTCTTCCCAAATTCAACCAAAACCTTCACATGCTTCATTTGTCAAATGCAATGGCAATCCATTTCTTCGACTTACCACTTTTCTAAATCTCACTGATTAATTACTCTAGACATTAGGAATCTCAAGAATACAGCTACATTCTCAATCTTTGGCATTTTTGTTAGATGACTTATAAGTTTCCTACTAAGAGTCATTTGAGGGATATATTAGCCAGGACCATGTCTGTTTAATTTTCAAAATTTTGGGGGATTAAATAAATTGACCAAACAGTGAATTGTTTAAAAATTACTGACAGAACAAGAAGCTTACCAAGATAAATATTCTAATGAGCTATAAATCCTGAAAATGTGATTTTAATTTGATGGGCTACCTAGAGCTAAGCAGCAAGGCTGTGTACACTAAAACTGCACTGAATGCTAGCTAGCATGCCTGGCAAACAGTTGCATTTTAGATTTTCTCTTTAAGGAAAAGATTATGTTTAAACAAAGAAGGCTACAAATTTGAAAAGTGAGACTACCACTTTGAACCCAACAATTTGGATGATTTCTCTTCCTCTTATCTGATGTCTTTAACTGTAAAAGAAAAAGGATGCAAGAGAGTTATAGTGAGGGAAGGGTCTTTAAATGTCCATGTAGGTACCAGGAGAATTTGCTTAAAACCTCTTATGAAGATGGTAGAGAGAATGAGCCCTATCCTATTATTCAATAACCATGTTTGTGATGCATCTGCATAATCTAACCATGCATAAATTAGTATGTGTAATACAACACTTATTTGCATAATAATAGCAAGTTAATAGATGCTTAAAGAGCAGAGACCAACACCACCTTTAAATCAGACATGCCTCCAGGCACTTTGGTCTGTACAGACCAAGATGCCAGAAAAACAGTGAGTATCAACCAGAGGAAAACAGTCAAACCATTCATTTTTCATCCCTTTAGACATTTCACTTATTTCCCCCCACACACTGGGGAATCATTTTCAAATCACAAAATAGCTTTATATTTTAAAAGCTAGCCCCCTTCTATAATAAAAATCTTAAAGAAATTGTAAAGGTGATAGTCAGCAATGTTTGCTTTTTTAGAAATGTGATAAAGAAGGGGCAAACATTAAAAGGAGTACATCCAAAATCATATTCATATAAAATTGGGGGCCCATGTATCTGCTTTGCAAAAACTACGTGACCTATATTACAGCTTTTCACCCTTCACTTCAATTCCTTAATTCAAATAATTTTAATGGAATACCAAAGCTTAAATAGTGTGTCAACAAAAGGCTGTGTCTCTGTCTCTCCTCCAACCTCAGTATGAGCGCATGAGACAGGGCGAGGATAGGGAAAACCATCACCAATGTCACACAAAGGAAGAGCATGGTGATGGCTTTCAACCTTTAACAAAGAGGCGGGGGGAAATCTGGAGTTTAAAAAAATCAAAAATCAATAGAGACTTCTAAATGACTCCTTTAAGATATCACTTTTCAATTTAACAGGACAGATTTATTTGTATGTGGCTCAAATGTTCACAATTGCTCCCTGCACCTTCATACATAGGAATGAATGTCACAGTGGCAAACGGCAGTAATGAACAATCTTACCTGAGGATATGGAAACCTCCCAAGAGCAAGCTGGGAAAGGAAATAATATTTGTCTAGTTATAGATTTGCATGCAGGGCAGATCTCCTTAAGACAGACAACTACTAAATTTCAGAATTGTATCTAGCAAATATAAAAAGCTCATAACCTCAAATGCACCAACTAAATTACTGCTGTAATTACATTAACAGTTGTATTTAGAATGGACATTATCAGTGAACAATGTTGTATCCCTGATAAAATATTTTAATTTTAACAACCAAATATTACCCTTATATAGTTCCTCTAAGGAATATTCCCAGCTCTATGGACATTATTCACATTTACACATAGGTGACAGTTTCTTCTAGACAGAGACATAAAACTAGCTACAGGAGACTTGTTCTTCCTTTCTGTTAAAATGGGAACATCTAATTGTTTCTAGCCCTCAGTTTTGTTTTCAGTTACAATGCATAGAGGAAGGGTTGCTGGAAATGGGGAATGGGGCATATGAAGTAGGTAATTTTGCCATTATTCTCATCTATTTATTAAGTTTTTTCATTCATTTTTAAATCTATAGCTAAGAAGGAAAGAGCTACTACTAGTGGAAAATGGTATTTCAAGACTGTAAAGTAAAAACTACAGCTTTAAGCCCGACCTTGGGAAAGTGAATCCTTAAGTGTTTCCAATTTGGGTAAATGTAAATGGGTATGTGTTTCTAGTCACTTAAATTTGATCTTTTAATTCTCAGCCAGGAATAGGATTGACAGAAAATAATGAGATGATATTTACCCAACAGGCTATAACACATTTAAAGAAAAGTGTGCCAAGATTTAGTAACTCGTAATGTGGCCCTTCTCCAGTCTTGAAACTCTTTATTACATGCGTCACTGCTTTCAAAGTAAAATTGTCACACTGGGAAACTGTGAGGCAGGACTGGATCCAAGAGAGTATCAATCCACTTTACAGATTCGACTACCCCAGTGAAGAAGTTCTCACACAGTCAGTAAAAGCCTAAGGACTGACCCCAAGACATGCCTAGAGAACACCCCCACGACCTGAAACTTAATCCAGAGGATTACACTGATGTTCTAGACCTCGAGAAATGATGTGTTTATTCGGACACCGACACTGTTCTTTTTTGAACTCCTTTTTGGAATTGTGTTTTACAATCATTTCAAGCAACAGAAAACATCTGTTTCACATTACTAGAATTGTATCTTATCTTAAATCATACTCCTCAGCTTTTTGATCATGTAAATTAGTTGTTGACTAAGGTTTGAATGACCTCTGGGTATTACCAAAACCCAAAGTCATCTTCAGAGAACAAATATTTTATGTTACTAAGGATACAGGTGAAAATACTGAAGTTAACTCTCAAAGTTCTAAAGCCAGTTTGAGCAATAGCAATCCATGTAAGGTGACTAGTTTCAAAGGACCAGCACTCATGCGTGTGTATGTGTATTCATACGTATATATACATATGAATGAGTTTTGGATTACCTGGTAAGTTCTATTACTTTGTATTCATTTCTTCTATAGCCACTCTATTAATTTTCATTAGTATAAAATTATAATATCATTATTTGATTTGGTGAAGATCATTAATCCCTTTAGTATAGACAGCGAAAACATCATACGATGTAGTGAAGGAGAGTAGGGATATTAACCAAACCCTTCCCTCAGTTTTGTATGATTATGCTTGTTATTATACTGCTATTAATTAGGAAGGAGGAACTTAGGTCTCCATTGCCCATTCCCTCACCCAATACAGGCCATCAATTTGCCTTATGTTTTATAATTACAGTGTATTTCTAGCCATAGAGAGCACATAGGTTCCAGAGTACTGTGGTTTAACATGGCGGCAATGGGTAGACTGGGCATTTGCACCACTCTGTACTGACAGACAGCTGACCTGTTGCCAGCTCACTAAAACCTATCATTACGAGTTTTGCATATTCTTCCCATTTGAAGAAAACTACAAAGAGGAGCGTCTTTGATCTAAAAAAGCAATCAGCCTAATAACTACCAGACAACATTTAGAACATTTATCTCAAGCCCTTCTATAGGCATTGCGCCATTCACTAGGATAGATGCTAAACATGTCATTAGGAAATATGACACAATTCTGTCTACATAGCTTACCAGCTGAAGAAATTTGCCCACTGTACATACAATTAAGATCTAAACTACCTGGCAGGTGCCAATAGTGACCATGGTTTCTTGAGTTTAAAGAATGAAGCAATGGTAAATGGAAGGTTTAAAAAAAATAGCAGGATAAGAGGGGAAATGTGAATTCTTCACACTCAGCAGAAAGTCTCAAATTCTCAAATCATCACTGGAGAGACTACAGTCAGCTTGGGAACATGCACTTACCGATTTACTCCCTCTGAGATGAGTGGAGTAAAGTAGTAAGGATGGCCCATTCATTTCCTCTGTCGGAAACCAATAAGCAAGAGAACAGAGATAATATCCAGGACAGGCTGGTAAGCCTGGAACTTCTCTGTACCAGCCTGCTTGGGAATAGGTGGCGGCATTTGCACTGGTGAACTCATTCTTGGGACTGACTGTGTTTTGCGTGTACTTTCCAGACATCCTATGGAATTCCAGTCTTACCTGTCAACTACATTCCTGGGAGAACTGCTTCTAAGACATTGTGCAGATCTTACTTTCTTTGAGTCAGAGGACAAAGGTTTCCTTGTCCATGACCAGAGCAGTGCCACAGTCATTTCTTCTCTGAGTGTCACCACTGGGCTGCTCCAGAAGCAGGTCAGGATTCTAATTCTGCACCAGTGAAAACTGGCAGCAGTGCTATTAGGCTGGCACCAAAAGCAGGCATTTTATAGCCCCAGGAGAGGGAGCTGCCTTCCATGTATGTCCATGTCCTTCTGTATTTAATGCAGCTGCAGTGTTTATGTTCCACACTACTTGTCTTGTGGCAAACAGAAGGAAATATATAGTCAGGCCCTAGAACCTTTTTATCAAGTTCAATTAAGAGAAGGTAAAAAAGGAAAAGGGCTCTTAGCAGACACGGCTACATGAAGAACAAGTTCTTCATGAGGCTGTCAAAAATCAAAATAAACACTGAACCCTTATGGGGAAGAGGGAACACATATGCTATGAGTGAATGTTTCAGACAGACGAACCTGGGGCCATTCTGTATCTTTTACCCCTACTGGTCTATTAATCTACTTGCATTTCCCAGTTTTTATTGTCAAGGTATTATAAATTAGGAAACTTACAAAAGAGAGTATGTAATCTTCTCTGAAATGGCCTGCAGATATGTCACTGTACTAAATGTGTTTCAGATTTAATGAAGCTTTAATGTCCTTTTTAATTTTGCCTGTTTCTGTATCACCAGGGGTCGGGCAAGGCAATCAGCACTCAAGAGGGTGGTTTGGTTTAAAACTAGGAAAAAACTCATTTGCTTATGAGTTGCACTGTATTTTCTTAATTAAATTTACTGAGTAAAATGGTTTAAGTTCAGCCAACCAATGACCTTTGTATGTAGATTTAGATTTATAAATAGGTTAACAGTTAAAGTAAAGAAGAAAAAAAGAATCACAACAAAGCAAACAGATTAGGGCTAAGCCAATAGAAATCTTTGCTCTCTTTATCATCTTTACAAAAGAAGCATTTAAATGTGGGCAGTTTAAGTCCAGTTCAAAAAAAAAAAAAAAAACACTGAAAAATGTAGACACACATAAGCGCCAGCAATTCATCAACCGACTCTCACATCCTTTTTCATTTCCCAGAGGGGTACCATTCACAATGTAAGAGATTTGGGAAAGCTTTATTTATTTTTGGGAGGTGGAGGTAGAGATGGCAGGGGTGTGGGAGAAGATTCTATTTAATATTAAATAAAAAAGTGCATTTTAATTCCAAATACTTCAGATTCAACAAACTGCAAAATATTCTGCTCATTGTGGGAGATATACTAAGTAAAAGGCAGAAAAGGAATGTTCTAAAAACATGTACCAGTTGGGAATACATTTAAATAACAGTAAACTACTAACATTTCACTATAAAACTAGCACTGTTCCTTAGTGTCATTTTATTGGTATTTGATTTGCCCAATCTTAATCTACAAAATACTCCAGAGTTAGAAGCATTTGAATATATTGGATTTCATAATTTAAGTAACCACTTTAAGTACTGTAAATATGCGTGATCATACCAACTGCCAAATATATAACAACTGCATGATAGAAATCTTTGTATTTTAACAGTTAGGTAGAAGATACTTATTCACAAAGTAACAAAAATGGCTTCTGTTGCTATAAGGATACTTACTATCATGAAGTCATAAATGATAAAGAAAAAACACACATTGTAGCCTGAAAGCAAGCAAGCAAGCAGGACACAAATTCAGAGTATGTTTTTTGGTGATCAAATCTCCTACTTAGAATACCAACAAGTTTACAGGAACAGTTTTAAATTTATAGTTATACTGAAGAACACAGAATTTTTCAATCCTTAATTTAGACATATTCTGTATTTTTTGGCATAACTGCAAATTGAAAATAAGCATTTTCAATAAAGCCAGTGATCTAGCTGAAGGAGGACTTTATAGTCTGAAATGTTCTAAAATTTGTTCTTAATTAGCCTGTGCACATTTTACACAATTAAATTTCCATCTAAGGGTTTTGTATTTAGATTGTGCACTGCAGTTAAACCTTTATTTCATAGAAATGCAGCAGTCACTATGGAACATTAAGACACAAGGAAACTTTAAAAAATCAGACTTAACTACTGGATTACATAAAATTCCCTAGGTGAGATTTCATCCCAGGACCAATTTACACAGTCCTAGAGAGAGTTTAAATCATCTGAAACTATGCTGGTGAAGAACCATAATAAATATTAAATACCTCAAAATCTACCCTAAGATTTTACTTTCCTTCCCATGTATCAATTTCACTGTCCTGTTACTGAATGGTTTAAAAACAATCCAAAGGATATAACAGCAATTTACCAGTGTTAAAGTGCTTCGGAGGTTAAACTGACAACAAAGAACACAGAAACACAAAGCGTCTTGAAGTAGGGTTTCAAT